CTGCCCCCTGTCTACCGTCCCACTACCCCCCGTCTACCGTCCCACTGCCCCCTGTCTCCTGCCTCTCTTTCTAGTTTTCTGAGCAGGGATTTGTACAGTAATTTTAACATGTTTGTTTTGCAGTATGAGATCCTGCTGTGCGTTCAGGATCAAGATGATCCAGCTGTGGATGTGTGTAAAAAGTTGTTGGGAAAATATCCAAACGTAGACGCACGATTATTCATTGGTGAGCAGAGACTTGTGTTGGTTCAGTGTTTTCCATGTTGGGTTTATGGGAAAACTTATTCTGAGGTTATGATCTGCCTTAGTAACTAACTCCATCTGACATATAGGCCATGATTTAGTCTTAGCACCTGTTCTCTGGTTTTCAGGGGGGAAGAAAGTTGGAATCAACCCCAAGATCAACAACCTGATGCCGGGCTATGAAGGAGCCAAATATGGTCTGGTCTGGATCTGTGACAGCGGTATCAGAGGTCAGTTATATGTTGGTTCGTTGCTAACATACAAACTTTAGACGCCGATACTAACTCTGTATATGTGTGTGTGTGTGTGTGTGTGTGTGTGGGGGGGGGGGCAGTGAAACCCGACACTCTGACAGATCTGACCAATCAGATGACAGAGAAGGTGGGATTGGTCCATGGGTTGCCATATGTTGCCGATCGCCAAGGCTTCGCCGCCACACTGGAGCAGGTAAGCTAACAAGCTAACATCATGCGAAGTCTGCTGACTGGTTTCCAGGTGTGCATATGAAAAACAACTTTTAGCGACAGGCTAACAGTGCTAATGTTGTGTTACAGTATCTGTTTAAATGCTGTTTAGCAATAGCCTCTAACGCTAACGTGACAGATATATTTTCTAACCAGCTTTTTTTTTAGTAGCTGTCAGTGCTAATGGTGCTAATACATGTATTTTCCTTTACAAGTACACCTCACATGCTGTTCTTTTTTAAGCTAGCTAACTAGCAGTTGGATGGTAATACATGATAATTTCCAACTATCATACTAACTAAAGCATAATTATGTATCCCATATTTGTCATTCCATCAGCTAATGCTAACCTCACCCCTGCATGTTGCTAACATGACAAGGATTCTTTTGCTAACAGATGCTAATGCTAACTTGTTGCCAGGTGTATTTTGGGACATCCCACCCTCGCTCCTACATCTCAGCTAACGTGACGGGGATAAAGTGTGTGACGGGGATGTCGTGTCTGATGAGGAAGGACGTGTTGGATCAAGCCGGCGGATTGGTCGCCTTTGCTCAGTACATTGCAGAGGATTACTTCATGGCTAAAGCCATCGCTGACAGGTTAGCACGTTAGCGTTAGCACCAGTCCAGTGATGTGGAAGTGAAGCTGGTGATTAATTTCTGTCTGTTTCCTCAGAGGATGGAAGTTCTCCATGGCGACACAGGTGGCGCTGCAGAACTCGGGGTCATACTCCATTGGTCAGTTCCAGTCCCGCATGATCAGGTGACCTCACAGCTCTTCATCTGTTTGGCTGTTTATATTGTTTATATTTAAACATTGTATTTATAATAAAACAATCTGTATTTAATCGGCTCAGCTGAGACCTGCAGACTCTGCTGTCACTTTGTTTTAATTTAATTAGTCTTTTATTTACATTTTATTGTGTTGTCTTTTATGATGAATTTAGTCGACTGTATTTATGTATCTGATCATATTGTCTTGTCTTGTCTATTGTATTGTTTCATCTGTGGTGTCCTCTGACACAATGACATGTTTCATGTGTGGCTCAGCCTGTCGTCATGGTGATGTTGATGTTGTGCAGTTTATTGGTGTAAATATTAAAGTTGTGTTTTGTGTGTTCAGGTGGACGAAGCTGAGGATCAACATGCTTCCTGGCACCGTGCTGGAGCCCGTCTCCGAGTGCTTCCTGGCCAGCCTCATCATTGGCTGGGCTGCTCATTATGTGTTCAGGTACGCAGCCAATCTGTTGTTTCTGTTGTGTGCAGATATTAACTCTTTCCTCACCAGGGTGTTGTGTTCAAGTTTCCAACAGTTTGATCATCTTCACTGGTCTTTACAGGATCATTGTTATACAAACAGAATAAACATCAGACTAAAGAACAGACTGTTTGTTTTATTATTCTGTCTTATTACATTTATTTTTATCATATTATGATATATATATTTTATTTGAATTTGTGACTTCTCATAAAAAAACAAAAAACCAACAACATTTCGGACAAAAAGCTGAGAAAAATGTATTTTTTATCAAAGAGTCATTTTCAATATAAAATCAATTTAAATTTTACATTTTTGTTTTTTTTCATTTCCTTGCGTCAGTCTGAAATGTATCATTAATAATAATCTCTTTGAGTCGCAGCAGTGGAACATGTTGTCACGTTCAGTCATCGCTCAGTGTTCTGTTGTGTCTGTCTCCTCCGTGGTCGTCATGGAGATCCTGTTTCGTCCCACCATCTCGTTCGTTTCTTCGTCCAATCAGATTCAGAATGTTGATCAAAACAGGAAGTGTCAGAGTCTGAGTCCATCAGCATCTCCACCACTTGTGCAGCCGTAAACTTTTCCGTCAGCATTTTCCTGCAGTTTAGAAGCTGCTACATCTTTTTCCTGTTGCCAGCCGGTCTGTTTTTGGACACGGCGGTGCTGTTCTGTTTCACGAGATGTGTAACAGCGCCCCCTGTCTTATATTAGTAGAAACAGGGATTGGTTTGTTGTTGGATTTTACAGTAAAGAGAATTTAAAGTGTTTCCATCAGACTGAAATGTCCAATAAGATAAAATAACGCCATGAGCGGTGACTCCAGGGTTACAGGCAGGACGACCCTTAAACACTTGAACGCTGTGAAGGATCAGGACCTTCGACAGCTCAGGACGTCTGTCTCAAAGACAAACAACAGCCTTCATGACGATTGGACAGATGCTCATTTATTTACGTCCCAATCTCAACTTGGCCACGCCCTGTGTGGAAACACTGTCACTTCCTGTTGGTCAGAAACATTTTGGGGACATGCTTTAATGTCCTGGTGACGTTAGAACAAACCCTCATCCATTTATGGACACATTAGTTTGGAAGTGGTGGCGCCCCCTGTTGACTGTTTTCAAAATAACTGAACACAGTGGTTCATCTTTATTACTGAACACATCCTGTGAGTTTGTAATGATTGGACAGTTTCTGATTTATAATCAGATTTGTGTTGTGCCACGCCCATTTTTATGCATGAGAGGCGCCCCCTAGTGGTCGATTTGAGGCAAGTGTTCAGGTGTGTCGGTGGTACCTCTTCACACGTTTCCTGTAAGTTTGTAATGATGATTGGCCAGACGGTTATGGAGGTAGATCTGTTGATGTGCTAAGCCACGCCCCCTCTAAAGTTCATTGGTCAGTATCTGAAAACACAGCGAGATATCAGCAAGCTTCTGATAATGTCTGATGATGATGATGATGATGATTCACAGAAACTGTGGTACGACTCAGACGCACAGTTTAGGAGGAGCTGTCAAATGTGTTTTTCATAAAAATTCAAAATGGTGGAAAATCTAGTGGGCGGACCGCAGTGGTTCTGAGGCTCATTCATAGAGCACATTCAGATGGACTCGTGTGTCGAATTGTCAGTCCGACATACGGTGTGAGGGGCGTGGCCTTTCAAAGTTTAATATTTTGTGGCGTTAATTGCAGCGCCACCATCGGGCTGTGTTGAGCAGCATCTGGTCACAACTTCCAATCCCATGTGTCTGTGATGAACCATCTCACAGAAATCTGTCAAAACATTTCTGAAGACAAAAAGACATCAGGGCTTCAGCTCAAAACGTGGCGAGCTTGACCCCGGGGCAGGTGTCACATGACGGCTGTTTAGTGTAACATCATCACGGCCCCATCGTTAGTCTCAGTGTCTGTACGAGAAGTCATCGTCACCTGTAACTGGTTATTGGACAGTTTGTGATTATTGACCAGAGCATGTGAGCGGAGCGGGAGGATTTTGTGTTGAGCGAGGAGAGGCTATTTTCTTTTAAAAGGTGGAGCGGAGCCTTATCTCTCGCTCCAATTTCACTCCAGTCGCCCATGCCCCATCCAGAATGCATCTTTGCACCTGCGCACACCCACACTGTTTTCTTTGAAAACTATGGAGTTTACTGTGTACTTCAGAAAAGAAGCAGAGAAGAGAAGCAGAAGAGTACCTTGGAGAACGGTCCCTAACTGCGGGGAGAGGCGAAAGAGCTTCTCCGGAGGTCGGCCGCTTAACCTGGTCCATCTCCTCAACACTTTGACTTATTTCCACCTTGCCAGTGATACTGTGGAAAACGGTCCCTAACTGCGGGGAGAGGGCTTCCCCGGAGAATCTACCAAGCTCATGTTTTATTGGTGTCGTAGCATTGTTCCGACCTCTCATTGTTCCGACCTCTCATTGTTCCGACCTCTCATTAGTCCGACGTCCCGTTGTTCTGATATGTGATTATACTAGGCTATACTGTATTTGTGTACCGGCGGGCGTATGGTGTGCCGCGACCGGCTTGAGGCGAAGCAGGCTCACGGCTTATGTGTTTGTCACTTTCTTTTTCATTTTAACCCACACCATGATCTTTTCCTGACCCTAACCAAGTGGTTTTTGTGCCTAAACCTAACCAGACCTTAACCACAGGGCATCATGATGATTTCGGAACAACGGGACTTCGGAACAATGGGTTTAATATGGTCGGAACAATGGGATGTTGGAAAAAGGGGCAGACGCCGTTTTATTTGTGAATAAAAGATTACAGGTTAGGGTAGAATGACGCAGTTTTTTTGAGCGAATGGAGAGGGATAAAATTTATGATGGAGCGGAGCGAAGAATGCGCAGAACGAAGCGGAGCAGACGAGCGGCACAAAGTGACAGGTCTGCGAGCGAGGAGCGGAAATTTTCACCTGCTCCGTTCACATGCTCTGTTATTGACACTGAGACACAGCTACTAACCACCATAGACCCAGTGACCAGCATCGGGTGGCATGAACGGAGGGAGCGAATTTAGAGTTTTTAGTTTGTGTCAGAGTGCGCTCCCACACTCAGAATGAGTGTTCCTGAACGCACCACTCACATCATCTTCCTCCATTGTCTAAAACAAGACAACACGAGTTGTTAGCTAGCGCTAGCTAATGTCTGTGGAGAACTGTTTTGCCTCCAGCTAAGCCCCGCCCACCAACAAACATCGATCAGTTGTAAACACTGTGATGTCATCATGATGCATCCTGTGTGTGTGTGTGTGTGTGTGTGTGTGTGTTGCAGGTGGGACATGATGGTGTTCTTCATGTGTCACTGTCTGGCCTGGTTCATATCTGACTACATCCAGCTGACTGGAGTTCAGGTATTCACATCAAACATGCTTTTAATTTGAAACACAAATACTGATCAGATCAATGACGGAGATGTTTACACTTTTATTTTGAAAGGGTTTCATTAGGTCAGAAATAATATGATATTATACAGTGTTTTTACACACTTCTATTTTGGCGTTTAAAAAGATGACAAAAAAAAACAAATATTAAAATTAAAAAGTAAATGTAAAGAAAAAGAAAATAAAAAATGAAACGGTTATTATTGTCATTGGTTATTGATGATGACATCATCGCGCAGGGCGGCCCGCTGTGTTTCTCCAAGCTGGACTTTGCGGTGGCGTGGTTCATCAGAGAGTCGATGGCCGTGCAGATCTTCCTGTCAGCTCTGTGGGACCCGACAATCAGCTGGAGGACCGGACGCTACCGGCTGCGCTGTGGCGGCACCGCAGAGGAGATCCTTGACGTCTAGTTACCACGGCAACTGCCTGCCCTTTCTTCCTCCTCTTCCTCGTGAAGGTGAAGAGGAGGAAGAGGAGGAGGAGTGAAAGAGACTGTTTGTTTTTGTTTTTTTTTTTAATGAGAAAAACTGAAGTGTGTGCGTGTGCGTGTGCGTGTGCGCGTGCGTGCACATGCGTGTGTGTGTTTGTGTGTGTTTGTTTAACTATTTATGTTCCTTTTGGTGCTAAAAAACCCCGAAATGATGCCAGAACAAGCCAATGAGAGCGCAGGATGGAAGGAAGAAAAACATTTAAAAAAAGGAGAAAAAGAAACGGGAGGGAGTGATGCATCGCACTGAACAGCTGATCTCTGATCGACCAATCATTAGACAGGAGTCAGTATTCTCTCTCCTGATTGGCTCCTGACAATTTGCTGAATGAACTAATTGTGACTGAAGATGAAACAGTTTGACGACATCTGACGCTTCAGAGGAAACGTGTAGGCTGCGTTTCAGACGCTTCCCGTCAGTCGTCGCGACGTCCGTCTGTTTCAACAAAGGTTGGCGAGGACTGTGAGGCTTTCACTAAGACACAGTGCAGATTGTGTTGTTCGTCCTGAACAGCTCCTGATCCAGGTTCAGGCTCTGTGATTGGTCAGAGGTCCGTCCCCTTCCTGTGTCCCTGATTCCAGAAATAAGGACAGAGACAAACAAGGTGCTATGAGTCACCAGAGATGCACCAACCGAACAACCAAACTTCAGCCTGACCAGCAGATCGGTCTCAGATGTAGCCGATCCTGCTCAGATCAGATTGACATGCAGGCGCCGCACAGTGGCGAGCGACACAAAGAGCAGCACGGACAGGATGTGATGTCATCAGAGCCGCTGCAACTCTGTCTTCTAATTCATTCCCATGTCGCACATCGCTTTTAAAGCTATGGTGTGAAGCTAACCAGCAGGCGTGGGTACACACCCAAATCTGTTTAGACCTGATAAGTCGCTCACAAGTGTAGCATAGAAAAGCTAATGCTAACCGGTCCATGTAAGTGGATGGGAGATGCTAAAAGGATTAGCTTCTTAGCGCAGGATGTGTACCTCAATAAAACCACAAATATAGGTGGTCTACCCGTCTGCTAGTTAGCCGATTAGTCAAGATAACTAGCAGATTACAGTTAAATAACTCAAAAATGTCACATCAGAAAGCTAATGCTAACTGTTTCATGTAAGGAAATAGAAAATGCTAAAATGATCAGCGCCACATTGCTGGAGGTATAGTGAAATAAAGTTAGGTGGTCGACCCTGATAGATTAGATTAATTCTGTGGCAGACGAACGTTTAAAGCTCGTCTCTAGGAAAAAAAACAAAAAGATAATGTAACCTGAGCTGATGTGACAGTGTTTCAGCAGCTGTTGTGAAAGAGGTTTTCTAAAAGTTACCAACATTTATTTTCAGTGAGATTTTTGTGGCTGTTTAAAGAAGTCTCCAGTGGCTCTACAGAGACATATCTAACATGTCGGTGTGTGCGGTCAGTTGTAGTTCTTAAGAAGAAAATGGGAGTTGGCAGGTCAGTGTTTTAAAAAATCTGAATCAGCCAGGAATTCTGCATTTGGCAGATAATCCAACAGGTCAGGAAAGTCACAGTTTGTGTTCGTACCATTATTTTTTCAACGAACTATGTCTCTCGTCTCGCACGATGTTCCAACATTGTGTCACCAACATGGCTGCCACCGTGGCCCAGGTGTAACCGTATCAGCAGCTTTGAATCCTCCAGTTCAGCATTTTGGTCATCGCCATCTTTTTATTTATTTTTTTATTTTAGTGACCATATTTGGAGGAGAGGGTGAGTTAACCCTAACACTAGCTGCTAGCTTGGTTAGCATTTACAAAACTATGGTTAATTATAATGATGCTAATGCTAATTCTTGCTAGCAAAAACAGGCTCAAAACCATTGAGTTCAACCAAATGCTGAACGAGACTTTTTAGACGACCGAAACGTTACCTTTAAACTTTCATAAACTGAAAACACACTAATATTACAACAGCCGCACTTGCACTCACTTTCCCGATGTTGTCGCCTTGTTAGCAACTTGTTAATGAACGCAACCAAGCTGTCAAAGAGGCCCCGCCCCCTTAATGATGTGTACCTTTGATCCTTAATAAAAAGTAAACAGGTGAGTTCTGTAAAATTCGTCATGAATGTTGAGATGATGTTTTTGTACCAGGCTGTAAACATGTTTGTTTCTACATGTTAGCGTGGAGCTCTGTGGGGACTGACTCACTGTTGGAGCCGGCCTCTAGTGGACGTGAGAGGAACTGCAGGTTTTGGATTCATGTTTCAGCCTCGGAGGACGCTGCTTGGTTTTTGTTAACCAGGAAGTGAAATAACGAGCTCAGACTCGACCTCAGGCGTCGTAGCTTCAGAAAGACCCGTGTGACGCCAGTGTCGTGACTCGTGACGTCTTTCTGATGACACAGTTTCACCGTCTCACAGTTTTACAACAAACTGTCACTTTGTTCATTTGATCATCTGAAACACCTCACGTCAAACTCGTGGCTCAGTTTAAACAGGGTCAGAAAATCAGTTGTCTTTGACCGTTAACTACCGAACACATTTTTCTCTGAATAATGTCCTGTTATGGATGCAGGAAGGGGAGGGACTTGGCCTCTCTGTCGGGACATGTGATGGACATTTGTTGCTGAAACAAGTTTAAAAATCAGAGGAGAGACGGACAGAGGACAAAAACATGAATTGACATTCTCTTCATGTCCAGAGAAACAAGACGGGACTTTACTTCCTGTGTCTCACTTCAAACAGCTGATCAATCAGATCAATAACCATTAATGTCTCTCAGTTCGTCTCCTCTGTTCATGTTTCTGATTAACGGAGGATCAACATAAAAAACTTTGATTTGAGCAGCTGTGAGGTTTAAACACACAATCGGCCAATGAGGACGGACGCTGATCTCTGATTGGCTGATTTTTTTTTTTTTTAAACAAAAAACAGTCGACTGCGTTTAATAAAATTAATTTTTTAAAAACTGGAGATATTTTTTCTGACTTTCTTCTGTATCTCTAAAACCGAAATTATTATCCAATAATTATTTTAAAAATTTCAAATGTTATCGAGAAAACCTCAAAAACTGAACGATCTTTGTTACCAAAAACTGTCTTACTATAAAAAATAGTAAACTATTATCGTAATTATGAAACATTTCAAAATTACAAGAACTTTAACTCGTCCTTGTGAGAATTGTTTCAGTGAGAAAATTAGTGACCTGTAATTCTAAAGAATAACGACATTGTTATTTTGTGAATACAAAATCAGTATCTCGCAGTTTTGACAAAGTTAAAAGGATCGCTGGATTTTGGTCTCATAGTTACTAAAGAATTCCAAAGTGTAAATATTATAGAATATAGAATTGTCATAATTATGAGGATGATTGGAACGTTATCGGATACAAAATCAGTAACTTGTAATCATAAAAAATAACTTATAAGAAAGACATCTTTGTGAATACGGAACCAGCATCACTTCACTTTAACAAAAATGCTATTAGTACGAGATTTTTGTCTCATAGTAACAAACTAATTATAAAAACAGTTGAATTTGTATTCTAGTTACAAAGAACTCCACGAGACGTCATTAACGGAAGAGATACGAAGTGTTAATTACAAAAAATGTCTTTCATTTTTTTTTCCCCAAACAAGTTTAAATGTCGAGTTGCCACAAAAACACAAGATCAGCCAATGAGATCAGAGAATTTTGTTGTTTTGAAAATTTGTTTTCTAATATCGTTCACTGCTCCCCCCCCCCCCCCCCCACCAAAAAAAAAAGGAATCTCAATTCAGCACTGAACAAACTCCAGTATTCTGTGACGTTCTAATGGTCGCAACATTTCACGTAAATCACAAAACATCAAAACAAACACAAACATAAACACAGGACCAAATAAATAAATATTAAAGTGAAAAAAATCCACATTTCTGAACTTGAGTCTGAACACTGAACTGTGTGTGTGTGTGTGTGTGTGTGTGTGTGTGTGTGTGTGTGTGTGTGTGTTAAAGCTGTGTTGCTTTACTGTTAGCCATTAGCTGTTAGTGTAGCCACAGGGGGTTTGGTTGATGACGTCAGCTGGGTGTCGGACGAACCTGTCGCTGTCGTCCAATAGGATTGTTAGAATTCTTATTTGTTTATTGTTGTTTTTTTTTAATTATGATGATCTGCTGTAGTCTGCGAACCGACCAATCACAGCTGAGGATTGTGTCAACACAGGAACAATAAAGTTTTATCCTTTGAAAGCTGAAAGTTAACGTGTGTGTTTGTTGAAAACATCCCACAGTGTGATTGGCTGGAAGAACAGACGGTGGATGGAGCTTCCAGAAACCAAGGATAGCCATTGGTCAGATCATTTATTTATTCAGTGACTCATGCTACAACTTCCTGCCCCCCCCCCCTGCATGATCATAAACGGAGCAGAGGGCTGCAGTGTCAGAGTCTCTGTCAACGTTCACACTTCACTGTTCTGAAACTCAGCGTGGAGCGTTGGCGTGTCGTCTCATGTCGGACAGATGTTGAACACTGACTGAAAATCTGAATGACGATATTTTAAATGTCCAACGACGTTAGAATTTCACATTGTGTGGGCGTTAACGTCGTGACGCTCTGCAGACGTTGGGTTTTCTTCTCTGTGTCTTACGACTACATGTCGTTACTCTACATCAACAAGACGTTTGCAAGATGTTGCATTTTGGTTACTGACGAACACAAAACAACAACAACCTGAACTCTACCGTTGGCGGCAGCTGGGGAAACGTCATGAAAAAAAGTGACAAATTTAGCAATTAAAAAAATAAATAAATAAATAGACAGGCGACAAATTTTGAACCCTTAGCAACATTATTTCCAAAAAGCAATGAGCAACAATTTTTGACTTTTCAGACCCGCTTAGTGATTAAATTTCCATAAAGGGACTAGTGACAAATTTAGTGACTTAATTTCTGCGTGAACCTCTGACCAGGTGACGTCTGCAGCGTCAGCTCCAATGGAGATGTCGTCAGGTTCGTAGGTTCAACACACAGCAGTAACGCTGATCTCACCTCATACAGCCCTCTGCTCCCACAATGCACCACAGATACTTTACATTCATCAGCATAAACAACCACAGGCTACGTTCAGGTACAAAAACAGTTTGGTTTATCAGTCTTTTTTTTGTTTTTGGTTCAAAAGTGTCAAAGGTGAAAAATCTTTCAAATTAAAAGATCAGTCGCAGATTTTCAAAATAAACAGTTTTCGTGGACTGAAATATAATCTGAAGGTTTTGTGACTGGTTTTCAAATAAATATATTTTAAATAGTGTTTTTCATGTCAACGTGTTTCTCAAACATATTTACAACAAGTATGTAACACATGACATGTTTACATGAACACGTTTTGTACCATGTTACATACGAGGGACATGTATTTAATATGAACAGCTTAAATACAACTACACATTAACATACATGTAACACGTAACATTGTGTTGTCACGTATGCTACAATTCTCCACTTGACCGTACATGTTTAACACAGTGTATGCTATTACAAACATATATGTAATGCACAAATACTAACTTCATGTTCGTGTTTAACATGTAGTTGTATCTTTCTTCATATTTCCAACGATTATGATCATGTTTTACATGTTGTAATGTGTAACTGTAACATGATTAAATCTCACGTACTGTAGCAAGTATTCTGCCATGAATGTGACATATAACATCTTGATTTAGCATGTGCCACGTGGTATGTCACATGATCCAAGTATGTCACATGATGCAGGTATGTCACATGTTGCAGTTGTTATAAAAAGTGTCAGAGGTTTGTGTGATAAAGGTTCAAGAGTAGATCATGTTTGAAGATGCAACGAGCATGGTGACGTAACGAGCGCCGTGACCCATTACATACATGTGAGTAGAACAGAAGTACACAGGACGTAATGAGTGGACAACATGGACACACCTGGAACCTGTAGGTTGTCACCAGGGGGCGGGGCTTTGACATTAAATTAGTCCTGAAAATAAAGAAGGTGAAAATGATGTGCATGTGTTGGGGTAAGCGGTCGTCTCTGCGCTGACTGTAGAGATGAACGACGCTACTGAAGTTTAAGGTCACTGCGCTCACACTGGTCACTGTTCTGCTAGTGACGTTGCGTCCACTGATGTGTGATGTCATTGTGACGGCGTGGATCTGTGCTGACGTTCACAGATAGTGATCGCAAGGATGTATAAACAGAGCAGTGGAGGGGGGGGTATCTGTTCATACATTACTTATTTATATTAATGGTTTTATTTTGTATTTATTTCACTGCAGATTTTTTAAAAAAGAAATGCAGGTTTGAAGCGTGCATTCTGTTTCTGCAGATTTTTAAAGAAAACATGACGTCCAAAATTTTAGGAATTTTTTAAAAATTAAATTAAATCAATTAATTTATTTGTTTTTCGATTTATTTATTTTTTGCCTGAAAATATTTTTGGGTGATTTTTTAAGAAATCATGCCTCATGTTGGCAAATGTTGGCAATTATTCATTTATTTATGATAATTTTATTTTGCTTTCAAAAATGCTGGCAATTTCTTTCTTTCTTTCTTTTTGAGGATCTTTTTTTTTCTTTGAAACTATTTGGCAGGGTTTTTTTTTTTTCTTAATGTTTTTTTTTTTTTGTCAATTTTTCTCTTTAGAAATTTTGGGTGCTTTTTTTTTGGCTTTACTGAGTTTCAGTGTTTCTTGAAGGAAACGCCTTCAAAGGCATGTTTTCTTTAAAAGTCAAGAATGACATCATCTATCAGCCAGAAACTGTAAAAACAGAAATTATCTTTGGATTTTTAAATTTCTGACGGTCCTCTAACACATCGCGTATGACAAATTCTTCGGTCAGGAAAAAAACAAATATTATCTGAGATTCAAACAGTCATATTTGATCAAAATAATTTTTTCTGTCTCGTTTAAAATTTGTCCAAAAATAAACCGTTTGTACGTCAAGAGGTAAAAACTGAGACTTTTTTTGTAACTTTTAACATCAAAAATCTAACAAGTCATTTTTGGTGGAGGGAGGCTCATGGACCCCAGCGCCCCCAAAAGACGTTCACTTCATCTGAGCAACATAAACAAAACTACGTTACGATTTGATTTGTGTAACGAGCAGAAGTTAACAAAAAAACTGCAAAGGTTTTTAAACAGGAAGTGATGTCATAATGAGAGAATGACTTGGTCCAATTTGAAGGCACACAAACTTTGGCTTGGTCTGACTGCCGCCCACTTTTTCCCCGAGGCATCCAAATGACTGAATCTATATTTCACTGCTGTTACAAAATAACGACATGAAAACAAAACTGACTCAAATTAAAACCAATATTTACAATATTTATGTTGTAAAAACAAAACAAAATCACCAAAATTAAAAAACACAGTTTAATTGAAACAGATGAAAATAATTTGTTGCATTTTATCACAAAACAAAACAAAACTTTCAAGTAAACACAAAAAAACAATATTTCATATTGAACCCAATCAGCTCTGGTCACAAGGTCAAAGGTCAGAAGGCAAACTGGGAATCGGCAGCTTCCTGTTTTTCTGTGGCTTGTTTCCTGTTTAAAGAAAATCATCGACACCAAAAAAATCCAAACATGAAATTAAAATAAAACCTAAAGATTTTCCAAAAACAAGAGCTGGACTTGAATTAAATATATTTTTAATAGAAAAAAAGAAGGTCTGACATTTGAAGATCAACCAATCACAGCTCGACTGACACACACACACACAAATATGTATATGTATATATATATATATATATATATATATATATATATGTATGTACACACACGTATAAATACACACACGCAGGTACAACAGGTGGGCGGGGCTTCGAAAGCATTTCATGTTGTACAGTATAAACACATTCATGATTAAAAAAACATTCCCGAAACATAGATACCAACGTTACGACATTAAACACAAATTAATTTCAAACAAAATTAATTTTACAAAAAATTCTAAAGTGAGATCAAGACAACCCGCCACTGAACCTCCACCCAAACACCAGGTAAAAAATCAAAAACCAGCAGGAAAATAAGGCACAGAAGAAGTTGGTTGAGCTCGCAGCCCGCTAACACTCCACAACAGCAGGAACCAAAATAATCAGACGGTAGAATCGAGTGCCGGCGTGAAAGGCACGTCGCTGAAGATTCGAAAAGCTGTTAATCAGTCAATGTTTTTGCATTTCAAAGATCTTTTCTTAAATTTCACCATTTGTTTTCCAGGAGTTCATGAAAAGGCAGTTCAGAATATAAACAATTAAAAACAAACAAAAAAAAAAAACCTCAAAGATTTGTAAACTGGAGAAAATAATTTGCTTCTGTCGTAAAAAAAAAAAAAAAATCTAAATAAATAACTTTATTTTACTGATTTTATTTGTATTCATGTTGAGTAACTTTAAATAAAAAAATAAAGAGACACTAAATATTAAATATTTTTTTCATCAGAGATTTAAAGAAAAAAACATCACGTTTTAATTTGAAAGTTGTTTTTTTTAACAAAAAATGTTTTTTTTTCATGACGATAATTTAACATTTAGAAGAAAGAAGTTCAACTCACATCAGCGCCTTGTTTGACTCCGTTACCCACAAAGCATTGCTACTGGGAGCTCAGTCTGCTTGCGAATGTGCTCTGTAACCTCTGTAACCATGGCCACGCCCCCTCATTGTGACATCATCCATCACAGTGATGTCAGAGTGTTTGTAGGCACAGAAAGCTTAGTGGTGTTGGGGCTCTCCCATTGGTCCCTTTGTTCCCACCATGGGCCAATCAGAAGCCCCTAAGTCTGGTTAGCTCATTGGCTCCAAAGGTCAAAGGTCATACAGACGGGTCAAAAAGTAGGAGGGGGGAGACTCAGAGGTCAGATGGTGGACTTGGAGATTTGAAGGTCAGATGGTGGACTTGGAGATTCTAAGGTCAGATTGTGGACCTGGAGACTCGGGGGGCAGGTGGTGGACTTGGAGATTTGAAGGTCAGATAGTGGACTTGGAGAAGGAGACTCGGAGGTGCTGGTTGTGGTCCAGCTGGTGGTCGTGCAGAGCGATCAGAGCCTCGATAGCTTCCTCCACCGACGCCAGCTGCATCAGCGCCATCTTCCTGTCCTTCCTGTGAAGGTGCGACAGGTTCAGGTTCGTCTGAGCGACAATAAACAACTCGTTTTTAAAAGCGACGGACGGACGGTTGAGTTACTCACTGGAAAAACTTGAAGGCTTTGACCGTGAAGCCAGTGGAGGAGAACAGGTCCTTCAACACGTCCTCGCTGACCGAGGAGCTGCAAAACAACCCAGGAAGAGATTCTCAGAAAAATACACAACCGTGAGAAGCTTTTCAACACACTCAAGAAAGTGCGCTTTTCTACAGCTTACATGCGCTTTAAGTCGCACATGTGCTTCACTGAAGTGCACGTGCTTCCAGTAAGTCACCTGCTGCTTTACTAAAACATACATGTGCTTTAGGTTGTGCCACATGTGCACTATTCTAAAGTGTACGCATGATTCGTGTCGCGTGCGCTTTAGTAAATCATACGCACACTTTGCCTGCGCACTGACGTGTACACAGACTTTAACTTCTGTGCGCTTTGCCGAAGTCTACGCGCTTCGAGTAAGTCTCTGTTTCCCACAGCTTACACTGGCCTTAGGTCACGTGTGCTTTTTAAAGCATACGCTTGCTTTAGGTCACGTTGCATGTGCGCTTTTCTGAAGCATACACGCACCTTAAGTTGCACACGCACTTTACTAAAATGTGTGCAGGCTTTAAGCTGTGTGCGCTTTACTTAATTGCATGCACTTCAAGTCAGACACCCACACGCTTCGCTAAAATGTACACACGCTTTAATTCGCATGTGCGCTTTTATAAAGTGCACATGTGCTTTAGGTCACGTCACATGTGCTTTACCAAAACATACGACTGCTTTAGGTCACAGGCGCTTTTTTTAAAAGTTTAGAGTAGAAAGTCATTGGTCGTCCCTGAGGGGTCATTTGGTCTACAGCAACACCAATGTCATAAAGTCATACATGTGCACTTTAAGTGCCAGTGCACGCTACTAAAGTGTATGTGTGCTTTGGGTTACGTGCACTTTTCTTGAGCTTTAAGTTGTGTCGCATATGTTTTACTAAAGCGTACAAGCGCATTAGATCACGTCCGCAAACTTCAAGTCCAATTACTGAGATGTCCCTGCACTTAATGTAAGTCACGTGTGCACTTCATTAAATCGTACATGCTCTTGAAGTCGCATGTGCGCTGAATAAATCGCGCATGTGACTTACTGAATTAAAATTGTCAGAAAATGCAGAAAAGCTTTGTGTAAATAAAAGAACGTACGGGATGTTGGAAAGGTGCAGCGTGGCCGACGGAGGGAAGATATTGTTAAAATTTTTGGATCCAGGTTTCTTAAAGCGGTGGAGGGCAGAGCCTGAGAAGTCTCGAGTCAGCGCCTGCTCTTCTTGCCCCGCCCCCCCACGAGGCAGCTGCACCACTGGGTGTTTGGACAGCATCACCCGAATCACGTTACCATGGAGACGCTGCCCGTTCAAGTGACTCATCGCTGTGGAGGGCAGAAAAAAAAAAGATCTAATAATGTATTCAACAGGAAACTCGTCAAAGCGCTCACTGAGACTTTAGATCAAATATTAATTTAACAGATCATTAATCATAATCAATTAATGTGATCAATATATATTTTAATCTTCCACCATGATCGACTGACTAACAGAGATGACTTCACACTTTTCTGTTCACTGAAACAGACAAGTCACATTTTAGATGCAAAGAAGGACTGAGCGTCGCACCGAGCTGAGCCTGAGTGGCGTCGCTCATCTGAACCAGAGCGTTCTCCTTCTTGTTGAAGAGGATCTTCACTCTCTGAACATCCCCGTAAACACCTGAAAACACAAACAACAACAACACCTGTAATTATCTTCATGACCGCCCCCTGCTGACCGCACGCCATCAGGACAGTCTGTAACAGTATAGTGATAGTTACTGTTGACTGATCTGTTTCTGTCCGTCACTTATTTACAAATGATCAGATTTACACCAACTCCAAAAATAATAACAATTAGAGCTGCTGCGCAGCGATGGGTCGGGTTCGGGCATTTTTAGGCAATTCTGAGCAACAAGCAGAAGAATTGGAAGACATTTAGGAATTTAGCAACACAATCTGCCTTTTACATCAGCTGAGGCTTGAACTCACAACCTCTGAGACTAAGAATCAATTTCTGTCTCACTGAGCTAATTAGTCAGAGACAATTCATGTGTAGCTTCACAAACTGACTAAGCCAGACGTGCAGGTTTAGCAGCCGTCCATGCATGGAAAAGCAGATTTCAAACCACTGTAAAAAATTCAGTTATTGAAACAAAAACCTGAAAATACACATATTGCCTCTAGACAGCATGGGGATGTTGGTAATTTGTTTGTAACAGTGATTGATTTGCTCCATAAGTGAAAAACTGATGTTTAAAATTGCCATTTTTACATTGACTCCAATTGTTCACATTAGAGCAAAATTCAAAATGCTGTCAAAAATTCAGTTTGAGATAAAATTCTGATATTTGCCACACATCATCTACCATGACTCTAGAATTTTGTCTTTTTTAATGAACATTGAAGATTTATTTAGCAAGAATTTGCATGTATATGTTTACAGTACCGTTTACAGTCAAACATTTTGATGCACTGTAGGCTCAATATTTGATAAATCAAAAATCTGTGTTGATCGTTTGTGTAGGACAGTCTGAAGATGCTCTGTAGCAAGTTTGGTGTCAATTGAGCAAAAATTGTGGGAGGAGATAGGTTTAAGAAGTTTTACAGTTTTTGAAAAAAACAGTGATGAACTTCATAATTTTTAGTAGGTTTAAATGTACCAAAGTTTCTTCAGTATTGGGGCTACAGTTTGATGAAAGTTGTGAAGTTGTAGCACGTATGGTTGATTTGTTATGAATTTTCAAAGTTTTGAACTTAAGACACTTGCTATAGCGCCACCATCAGGACTATTGGCTTGAGTTTACAGCTGAGGATATCTGGCATGAGACTGGACCTTTGTGCAAAGTTTGGTGAGTTTTCACCCATGGGAAGTATGATTTCCTCAGAAGAAGAAGAAGAAGAAGAAGAAGAAGAATACCTAGGATTACAATAGTGTCCTGGGAGCTTAGCTGCCCGGACCCTAATAAGAGTAGTTTTTAATAACTGAATGTCAACATGTAAAACATTCACAGTTCTTATTTAATAACTGAAACACAGAAAACAACTGATGGTGTTTCTTCCTGCCGTCAGCAGCTGGTGTTTTCTTACCAAACAGGATGAAGAGGCAGTGAGGAGAGACGCTCTGCAGAGACAAACAGTGTTAATAAAGTTAGTTCAAAGCTGTGGCTGATTCTCAGTCAGTGTCAAAGTTTCTGTTTCACACACTGGTTTATTCGTGTCATCATCGACGCCACTAGATGATTTCCTTTTTTTGTTTTTTAGTAGATCGTCAAGCTGCACGCAGCAGACTGCGTGGCTCAGACCCTCCAAGCCCCGCCCTCTCTGTTTAGCGACCACAAATGAGACAAGCTAAGCTAGCTAGTAGGGATGTCCGATCACGTTATTTTTACAAAATCGGAATCGGTAATAAAAGATCGGAGGAATCAAAACAACAAAAATGGCCAGGTTTTTCATCTGTTGTTCACTGTTGCCTCCGCTTTCCAATGTATAAAGATAGAGGCCTATTTTGTTTGTTGAAGACAAGAAAATATTGAATTTGTTTGCATTTTGTGCTGCTGAACCACCAATAAGCTTTCTGGATACTATTTAAATAAAAAACAAACCTTATGGGACAACTTAGCCTGGTTCCAGACCACAGACCCCACACACTCAACTGAGCAGGCTTGCATCTCTGGTCTGGCATACTGCAATGAATTTGCGATTTATCTTGTCCACACCATGGACGGACCAATGACCGCCGGGGGTGGGGGCGGGTCTAGCGATTAGCCAATCAGTGCCACGCTAATGGCGACCTCTACAGATCCTACAGACCACATTAACGATGCTATCGAGGTATTTCGCCACTACTCGCGATAATGGAGGACCAAATTAAGGAAGCTGCTAAACTGGATTTAACGGCGATGCAGCTGGGCGTGCACAACGACGGAGACATTTTAAACAGGCAATGCTCACTTGTTTTCGGCACCCCCGAGGCATGGATACTAAAGACGTCAGATTCTGGGTGAGTCGTTGATCTCTACTGATTGGTTAGGGAAAAATCAAATTCCCTTCCCCTTGTAAATCGCCTTCAATGGAGGCGATGTCAGACTGAAGGTTCTGGGAGCTTCAGTCTGACACTCAGGCTAGGGACAGCTTGGATGTATTCTTTTTTTCTTTCTTTTTAATCTAAATCTCAATCGTATCGGACTCGGTTTTAAAATAAAGGGCTCGGTATCAGATCGGATGCAAAAAAAATGTGATCGGGACATCCCTACTAGCTAGCTAGTGCACCCTACAGTCCGTGCACCTCACTCGCCACCACTTGGAGACTATTCAGGGTTTCTTCAGCTTAAGGTAAGTCAGATTTAAGACTTTTTAACGCCATATGGAACAATGTTTTATTTTACAATTCAGTCCAAGTGAATGTTTGAGCCAAATTCGAAGATGTGTTGTTTAGATACCGCATTCACAAAAATGAGATGGGCAAGGTCACAGGGACCTTTGACCACCAAAATCTAGTCAGTTCCTAGTTTAGACTAAGTGCATGTTTGTGCCAAATTTGAAGAAATACTCTTAAGGTTTTTTTTTTTTTTTTTTTTTTGGAGATACCATGTTCATGAGCACATGACAGACAAGGTCACAGTGACCTTTGACCACCAAAATCAGTTCAATCAGTTCATTCTTAAGTCCAAATGACCATTTGTGCCAAATTCACAGGAACTGCATTCACAAGGATCAGACAGATGCGAGGTCACAGTGAATCAGTTCATTCCTGAGTCCAAGTGGACGTTTGTGCCAAATTAGAGAAAATTCCCTAATGGTGATGTTGAGGTGTTACGTTGAGCATGAGATGAACGGACACCCTGAAAACATAATTCCTTCATCTAACAAAACTGGGAAACACCTTTTTGTGTTTGTTGGCAGATTTTCTTGCTCTTCTCCGCCTTGACTCGCACCACGTTGAGTTTGAAACCTTTCTGGTATCAAAAAAAGCGAGCCTCGTGCATCGCTTCGTTGCAGGAGTGTTGCTAAATCTCTTTAATATACAGTTTTTGTGAAATTCGCACTCCCACGTGTCGTCCAGGTTACGGTGACAGCTAGCTAACAGACAGTGCTAACATCCTCTGACCTCTGGGTTCAGGTTGGACACAAGCAGCACAGAGTGACCAGCAGGAGGCGCCACCTGCAGCGAGACACGAGGAGGAGACACCAACGAGCCAGGGACGGCTGCCATCGACAGACCTGAGGACAAAAAAAAAAAACAACTTTATTTAAAACAGGATGACATGTGTACACACACACACACACACACACACACACACACACACACACACAGGAAGTTTAGAGCCAATGTCATCACACTGTGTTCGGAGATATTGGATGAAGGAGATACCCCACTGTAGGCTTATCCAATGTTAAGAAAACGGTTACTCTTCCTGTCTCCTAAGTGGGCGTGGTTAGCTCTCCCTCCAATCAGAGCCTGTTCTCCCTTGTTTTCTGAGACGGACAGGGCTCAAACAAAGTTAATTTTCTCTTGATCTGTGCAGATGAAAAATGCAGCTTTAGTATCAGAATGTTGGTAAGATGTGTGGCTTGTGGAAAACGAACCCAATATTTATTTTAGTGACTACAGGGCGAAAGAATTGACCATAAATTGAGATCACGTTCATTTTCCTCATTGACGACAATACATTCAGAGCTGCCGCAAGTCTCCTACGGAGGCATGGCGCTGACGTCACTGAATCAGGAAGTGAGCTGAGTGGGGTATCTCGCTTCATCCAGTATCTCTGGTGTGTTTTATTGTTTCTGTCTCACCTGTGTGTTGGTGGAAAGTTGGTGGGAAAGCTGCAGCTCCGTACGGAGGGAGAGCTACACCTGTAACACACACAGGTAATACACACACAGGTAACACTCTTCTTCATGGAAGCGTGGAGCACAGGACGCAGAGCTGTGTTAGCAGACTGAAATAATGTGATCAGTGTCGGGCCGAAGTGAAAACATTTCAACTGGTTTGATATTGAGCCAAATGCCAGACCAGACTGCTGTACCCAATATTACCACCAGGTGTCACACTCAACCCAGCAGCCGCACCTGAGTGGAAGACAATGACATCTACCTACTAAAGTTAGGTCAACCATTCCATTAGCTAACGTTAGCTTACTTTAGCTACTGTTTTCTACCTACTAAAGTTAGGTCAACCATTCCATTAGCTAACGTTAGCTTACTTTAGCTACTGTTTTCTACCTACTAAAGTTAGGTCAACCATTCCATTAGCTAACATTAATAGTTAACAAAAGCTAACTTCAGCTACTGTTTGGGTCGACCATTCTGTTAGCAAAGTCTGGTGTAACACTATCAGGGTAACATTACTAGCTAATGATAGTTAACTTTAGCTCCAGATTTCTACCCACAAATCTTAGGTCAACCATCCCATTAGCTAACATTATCAGTCAGTGTTGGGAACGGGAGCGTGTCTATGTTTCCAGGGTTCTATGTTCCCCACTTAACCCTGCAAAAAAGGTTCTATGTTCCCCAATTACACAAAAAAGGTTCTATGTTCCCCAATTACACAAAAAAGGTTCTATGTTGCCCGCTCAACCAAGCGTAGGAAACACAGGGATGACCTCTTGCGAATATTACTTTATAAAGTAATTTGTTATAGTTACTAGTTACTTTCCCCAAAAAGTAAATTAGTTAGTAACTGGGTTACTGCACTATAAAAGTAACTAATTACCTGGAAAAGTAACTATAGTGTTACTTTTTCATAAAATGCTCAAGTATGTCAAATTGCTTGGACGCCCCCCCTTAATGGAACTGTATGTAATGAAACTCGACACTGAATATGTTAAATGAATGAAATTGACACTTCATAGAATAAATCATTATTATAAAACATTGTACACTTCTCTACTCTACACTGGAGCTTGCTTGGGTGAAAACCGCTGCAGTGAACTCAAGTAAAGCCGAGTAATGGTGCATTTTATTGTGAGTAACGGTAACGGCATTATAACAGGGGAGACAGTAACTTTTTTGATTACTCGCTGCTGAAAAAAGTAGCACCGTTAGTAACGCCATTTATTTATAGTGCCATTATTCCCATCACTGTTACCAGTTAACTTTAGCTAACTTAAGCTGCTATTTTCTACCTACTAACATGAGGTCAACTGTTCCGTTAGCTAATGTTACCACCCAATATAGGTTTCTTTAGCTGCTGTTGTGTACCTACTGGGTCAACCGTTCACAGAGGTCTGGTGGAACGCTGTCAGGCCGATGTTATCAGCTCGTTAGCTTACTTTAGCTGCTACTTTCGACCTACTAACGTTAGGTCAACAATCTGTTAGCTAACATTACCAGCTCACATTTTAGCTACTGTTGCCTACTACAGCAGTTGTCCCAGAGGTCTGTCTGGTGAAACGCTGTTAGAGATCTGGATTGTGGCTAAAAACACGGAGAAGTTTTCACAGCACACTGTTATTACATCCAACTGGAGGCGTGTTTAACACATCACTTTAACGTTAACATTTGACATTAACTGACTCTGCCCCTTCAGACTGAGGATGGAGGGTTTTTTTTTTACTTCTCCCATTTATGTTCTACTATTTTCAGGGTTTAAAGTTGCCTTTCTTTGATCAAACAGCTGTAAACAGCACAAATCACAGTCGTAGTCTTTGCATCCAGTTTCCCTCTGTCTGGACGGCGCACCGGTGAAAAACATCATATACGAAGAAGCTGTTACTACCAACGCTGAGGTTGTCCAGGCCCAGTGGTGTGCAGCTATAGTATGCTGCAGCGGCTGCTCCTGATTTATTTCTGATGGGTGTGTATCTCTCCTCAGGTCGGGCGTGTAGACGGCAGCGTGGTGACTCGGCTGCTGTTCTTTCAGCTCTCTGGTGAACTGAAGATCCTTGGTCATAATCTATCTGTATGTGTCACGATGGCGGCGTGTTAAGCGGATGGTCTGAGCAGTAACGGTGACTGAGGCTAAGTCGCCTGATTGGTTCTGTTCCTAAGGTCTCATGAGTGTTCACTGGTTAGCATTAGCATTAGCATGAGCTCATCTTACCGAAGGTAGCGGCGGGGTCCAGCTCTCCTGTTGGGAGGTCAGCTCTGGTGAAGTCACGACTCTTGTCGTTGTTGTACTTCACGTTGAGCACGCTCAGTTTGGAGAAGTCGATCCTCAGCGTGCAGCAGCCGTTATAGATGTTCTGACCGTCCAGTGACTGAAAGACAGGAGGACGGACTGATGCTGCAATCTGATTGGACCAGAGCTCCACCAGTGACCCTGAGACTGGAGCTGCAGCCCACACCTTCTGTGTCCTTCTCAAATACAGTCTGAGAATAACATTTATTCATGTTTGTATGTCAGGGAGCGTGCACGTGACTCACAGCCTTGGCGTGCTGAGCGTGCACGGTGTCACTGAACTGCAGCAGAGCCTGAAACTGATTGTTCCTGGTGAATGTGATGATCTTCAACACCGAACCGAACTTACTGAAGATCTGAAAGCACACCATTATACAGGCGTTAAATGCTGATACAGAACTACAACTACTAACTTGTACTGCTTCTAACAATAATAATATTATATATAATAACAACAACAATAACAACAGGAATCACAGCAGCAGTGATCAGCGACCTGCTGCAGGACCTCCAGTGTAACCGGATAAAATAAATTCTCTACGATGATTCTCAGGACGGGACTCTGACCAGGCCCTAAGCCCCGCTCCTCTCCACCTGACGCCATGTTCCCAGAATGCACTGCTGGTGCACTGATGGCCTGCAGTGCTGCTCTCTGTCAACAAACACACAAACGAAGCTTTACAGAACAGTGACATGTTGAACAGTGGGAGGGACACAAGCTGTCAATCTGAAATTCAAAATCTATTTGACGCAGAGACATCTGGTGGTGGTGCTGCAGACTGCAGCCAACTGACACCTCTCCTGACTGGTAAAGATGAGAACTAACATGGCCGCCGTTGCACGTGATGTTTAAATGATTTAATGACATTAAATTAACGTTTAAATGATTTAATGACTTTAAATTTTAAACGATTTAATGACTCTTCAAATTTCTCTGTAAAACTCATCTTTGTTCTACAAATTAAATTTGACTTGACGTTAAAATTCTTCAACATTTCTACTAAAAAGTTAAACTGTGGAAGTGGGCGGGACCAGAGATGCTGCTCCTCACCTGATTGGTCAGATTGTCTGTCTTGAGCTCACGGTGGGTGGAGTACTGAATGAAGATTGGCTGGTTCCTGACAGTAGGCGGGGCTGAGGTGTAGTAGTTCACCATGGTAACAGCCGCTTCCTCTGACGCCATTTCTAAAAACGCCTGAAGAAAGAAAAAGACCAAACTTTTATGACAAATTTAAATAATAGAGTCAAAACATTAACCAGCAACATTCAAGAAAATTAAGACACAAATAAATAAAATTTAAAATCACATTTAATTATGTCACCAAAATTAAATTAGTCTGTCATGAATGAAATTTTTGTTTATTTATTCTCCCGAACTCAGTATGAAGTCAGAACTGTTGGCTCCGCACCATGGAAAACCATTCAGTAGCTGCGGTAGTTAGCCAGTCCCCTGTAGCCAGCGCACAGCCACATAGCCTTAGCCTCTGCTAGCGGTCCCCCGGTAACTTCTGTGCAGCCGGGAGGCTGGGTAACTGTCCGTGAGAAGCGTAGCTCCAAGCTGAAGCCCACGGCTCACCACCAGCCTGTTCACGTTTCCAACCGCTTTTCCCCACTCAGCGACACACCCGCTGAGGATAAAGCTCTGGTTATTGGCAGCTCTATTCTGAGGAACGTGAAGTTAGCAACACCAGCGGCCATAGTCAAATGTATCCCTGGGGCCAGAGCGGGCGACATTGAATCAAATTTAAAACTGCTGGCTAAAGCTAAACGTAGATTCAGTAAGATTGTTATTCACGTCGGCGGCAATGACACCCGGTTACGCCAATCGGAGGTCACTAAAATTAATATTGCCTCGGTGTGTGAATATGCAAAAACGATGTCGGACTCCGTAGTTTTCTCTGGACCCCTCCCAAATCTGACCAGTGATGACATGTTTAGCCGCATGTCATCATTTAACCGCTGGCTGTCCAGGTGGTGTCCAGCAAACGATGTGGGTTTTGTTAATAATTGGCAAACTTTCTGGGGAAAACCTGGTCTTATTAGGAGAGACGGCATTCACCCCACTTTGGATGGAGCTGCTCTCATTTCTAGGAACCTGGCAAATTTTATTAGTAATTTAAATCCCTGACAACCCAGAGTTGAGACCAGGACAGAGAGTTGCAGTCCTAAACGCCTCTCTGAGCTTCTAGTTCAGTTACCCAGCCATAGTTTTCATAGTTTTATACAAACGGTGTCTGTCCCCCGACCACCTAAATTATTTAAATCTAAAATTAAACAAAGAGGAGTTGTGCATAACAACCTCATAAAAATTAAAACCTCTTCTGTGACAGAAAGACAAAACAGGAGAATTAAATGCGGACTGTTAAATATCAGGTCTCTATCGTCTAAAGCAGTGTTAGTAAACGAATTAATATCAGATAATCATATTGATTTACTCAGTCTCACTGAAACCTGGCTGTGTCAAGATGAATATGTTAGTCTAAATGAGTCCACTCCTCCCAGTCATAATAATACCCACATTCCTCGAGGCAGCGGCCGAGGAGGGGGAGTTGCAGCCATTTTTAACTCTAGTCTGTTAATCAGCCCTAAACCTAAACTAGATTATAATTCATTTGAAAGCCTCGTTCTTAGTGTTTTACATCCGACCTGGAAAACCTCGCAGCCACTTTTATTTGTTATAGTGTACCGTGCTCCTGGCCCGTATTCTGAATTTGTATCTGAATTCTCAGAGTTTTTATCCAGTTTAGTTCTTAAATCAGATAAAGTTATTATTGTAGGCGATTTTAACATTCATGTCGACGTTGATAATGACTCCCTGGCTACCGCGTTTATCTCATTAATAGACTCCATTGGCTTCAGTCAGGGTGTACATGAACCCACTCACTGTTTTAACCATACCCTCGATCTAGTTCTGACGTATGGAATTGAAATTGATAACCTAAAAGTCTTTCCACAGAATCCCTTGCTATCAGATCATTATCTGATTACTTTTGATTTCTTTTTACTCGATTACACGCCACTCAGCAACAGTTACTATACTAGATGTTTATCAGATAGTGCTGTCACAAAATTTAAGGAAAAGATTACTTCGTCGTTAAATTCAATACCAATACCTTCAGTAACAGAGGTTTCCCGTGCCGACTTTAACCTCTCCCAAATTGATCATTTTGTTGATAGCGCCGTAGGCTCGCTGCGAACAACGCTCGACTCTGTAGCTCCTCTTAAAAAGAAGTTAACAAAGCAAAGAAAGTTTGCTCCTTGGTATAACTCTCAAACCCGTAGGTTAAAACAAATATCGCGAAAATTTGAAAGGAATTGGCGATTAACCAAACTGGAAGAATCTCGTTTAATCTGGACAGACAGTCTCAAAACTTATAAGAGGGGCCTCCGCAATGCCAGAGCAAACTATTACTCAGCATTAATAGAAGAAAACAAGAACAACCCCAGGTTTCTTTTCAGCACTGTAGCCAGGCTGACTGAGAGTCAAAGCTCTATTGAGCCTTGTATTCCTTTAGCCCTTAGCAGTAATGATTTTATGAGCTTTTTTAATGACAAAATTCTAACTATTAGAGGCAAAATTCATGACCTCCTGCCCTCAGATGGTAGGCCTACCTATCTAACCTCAAACACAGCTGTAGAATCTAATATATATTTAGATTGCTTCTCCCCAATTTCTCTTCAAGAATTGACCGCAGTGATTTCTTCATCTAAATCATCAACGTGTCTCTTAGACCCCATCCCAACTAGGCTACTTAAGGAGGTCTTTCCTTTAGTTAACACTCATATATTAGATATGATCAATATATCCCTATTAACAGGCTATGTACCACAGTCTTTTAAGGTAGCTGTAATTAAACCTCTCCTAAAAAAGCCCACCCTGGATCCAGAGGTGTTAGCCAACTATAGACCAATATCTAATCTTCCCTTTATGTCAAAGATCCTTGAGAAAGTAGTCGCAGACCAGCTGTGTGATTTTCTCCAGGATAATAATTTATTTGAGGAATTTCAGTCAGGATTTAGAGTGCATCATAGCACTGAGACAGCTCTAGTTAAAATTACAAATGACCTTCTGATTGCTTCAGACAAAGGACTCGTCTCTGTTCTTGTTTTATTAGATCTTAGTGCGGCGTTTGACACAATTGACCATCAAATTCTACTGCAGAGACTGGATCACTTAATTGGCCTAAAAGGTTCAGCACTAAGCTGGTTTAAATCTTATTTATCTGATCGTTTTCAATTTGTTGACGTTCGTAATGAATCATCCTTACGTACCAAAGTTTGTTTTGGAGTTCCGCAAGGTTCTGTGCTCGGACCAATCCTATTTACTCTATATATGCTTCCTTTAGGTAACATCATTAGAAATCACTCTATAAATTTCCATTGTTATGCGGATGATACACAGTTGTATTTATCGATGAAGCCAGAAGAAAGTAATCAATTAACTAAACTCCATAACTGCCTTAAAGACATAAAAAATTGGATGAGCACCAATTTCCTGATGTTAAATTCAGACAAAACTGAAGTTATTGTTCTTGGCCCCAAACAACTCAGAGACTCTTTATCTGATGACATAGTTTCTCTAGATGGCATTGCTCTGGCCTCTAGCACTACCGTAAGAAACCTCGGAGTAATATTTGATCAAGATTTGTCTTTTAATTCTCATTTAAAGCAAACCTCACGGACTGCATTTTTTCATCTGCGTAATATTGCGAAAATTAGGCCTATCCTGACCCGAAAAGATGCAGAAAAATTGGTCCACGCTTTTGTTACCTCAAGGCTGGATTACTGTAACTCTCTATTATCAGGTAGCTCTAGTAAGTCCTTAAAAACTCTCCAGCTAATTCAGAATGCAGCAGCACGTGTACTAACAGGAACTAAGAAACGAGATCATATTTCTCCTGTTTTAGCTTCTCTGCACTGGCTCCCTGTAAAATCCAGAATTGAATTTAAAATCCTACTGTTAACTTATAAAGCTCTAAATGGTCAAGCTCCGTCATATCTTAGAGAGCTCATAGTGCCATATTATCCCACCAGAACACTGCGCTCTGAGAACGCAGGGTTACTCGTGGTCCCTAAAGTCTCCAAAAGTAGATCAGGAGCCAGAGCCTTCAGCTATCAGGCTCCTCTCCTGTGGAATCATCTTCCTGTTACGGTCCGGGAGGCAGACACCGTCTCCACATTTAAGACTAGACTTAAGACTTTCCTCTTTGATAAAGCTTATAGTTAGGGCTGGCTCAGGCTTGCCCTGTACCAGCCCCTAGTTAGGCTGACTTAGGCCTAGTCTGCCGGAGGACCCCCTATAATACACCGGGCACCTTCTCTCTCTCTCTCTCTCTCTCTCTCTCTCTCTCTCATGTCCTGTTACTGCATGTCAGTAACTCGGCCTCTTCTCTGGAGCCTTTGTGCTCCACTGTCTCGCAGGTTAACTTATATCGCAGCGGTGCCTGTTCAGTTCACTTCAGACAACTTTATTAGTCCCCAAAGGGGGAATTCAGTTCAAGCAGTCACTGTTCAGTACATGAAACAAGTTCGCTGTTAGCAATTAGCTGTTAGCAATTACATGTTAGCACTTAGTTGTCAGCTGTTAGCAATTAGCTGTTAGCACTTAGTTGTTAGCAGTTAGCTGTTAGCAGTTACCTGGTTTTTGGTCTTCAGTGTTATCAGCTTACTAACTCGGCCAAAAGGAAGCGCCAGAGCGAGCACTTCCTGTTCAGAGACGTCAACAGGAAGCTGATGCAGGTGAAGGACCTGAGACGGGATGCACTGAGCGTGCTCAGAAACACACAGCCTATCAGTGCCATCCACTGTGGACAGACACAGACACACAGGTGAGTCAGTGAGTTCACAGTGGGCGGGGCAGAGCAAGCGCTGGAGGCGGGTCTCACCTGTGGACAGGTTGGAGGTGCTCATGTTCTCAGAGCAGCTGACGGAGGAAGTGAACGCTGATTCCTGCAGAGAGAAACCCTCGTTATGATCCCACAGTTTGCCTCCTTCCTGCTCCACACACAACTGAAGCGCTGTGACGAGCGACAGGCAGCCAGCTAGCAGTAACCCTGAAGTCACGCAGAGAGGAAGAAGGTGTTGGCCAATCAGGAGCCTGAACATGTAGCTACCTGAAGGTTACCTGTAGCAGTGAGCTCACTGAGACGCCTCTGACACCAAATGTCACCTCGTACGAAACGCAGAGAGCGAACGTTACTCTACTAAAACTGTTCACAGTACACACGGTGTCGTGGACAACGGTTCAAATCTTTTCCAGGACTTTTCAAGGACCCAGAATAAAGTTTTGTTTTCTTTAGATACAGAAAGTGAGAAATGAACCCAGACAGGAAGCGACCAAACCTACGCTGTCAAACATTCATGTGTATCAGAGCTACTATAATCTGCCGCTGTGTCACGTCACGTTACATGAACGATCATCCACACACGGTGACTGTAACTCGACACCACACACATTACAACTCCAGGACTTTTCCAGGCCTGGAAAATATGACTGTGTAATTCCATGACTTTTCCATGACCGTGGATCCAAACCCCGAGGACATTTAATTTATGATTCAATTAAAAAAAAAGACAAAACAGAAAAACATTTAAAATATACTTAAATACAAAAACTGAAAAATTGAATTATTAAAAATCAAATTATTAAAAAAAACGAATTACTAAAAATCGATCTTTGAATCGTCTCTGACTCGTGACTGAAGAATCACGTCTCGTGTTTTAATTCTCTTCACGGGACGCCGGTGAAACATTTGACGGCCCGCGTGACGTCAGGAACGAAAACATGAGAACATGTCAGAGTCACTGGGTGTTTCTCAGAGTCAAGGAAGGATCCTCAAACGGCCGAATGTGAAGGACGCTACGTCATGGACCCGTCGAAGGACTGTTCCAGTGTCAAGGATCCTTCTGAGTTTCACGAAGGACTAAGTCCTTCTCTCAGAGAAATTAAAAGGATGCATGTGTGGATATAAAATCCCCACAATGCTTTGCACAGTACATGATTTGAAGTGTGGGCGGGGCCTCTTCAATGAAACCTGCGCAGCAGAGCTCGGCAGGATTTAGATTAAGGCCCAATCCCAATTCCTATCTTAACCCTCAATCTTAACCCTCAGTCTCAAAAATCCACGCTCCCGTGAAGTGCTAGTGCTGTCCCGATTCTCAGAGTGTTGAGTTGAGGGTCAAGAATATGGGCTGTATGGCCCTCACTTTTAAGATTTTCCAGGACCACCCTTGGCAGTAAGTGCTATCCCAGACTCCTTTGCGTATCATCCGCTGAGCTCAGCCGAACCCAGTCGAGTACAGACAATTCAGTCAATGCAAGATGGCGGTGACAAGCGTAAGGAAATAGAGTTATCAATGTGAGTATTTTCCTCATTAATAGTTGTTTTAAAAGTATGATAACCATTGCATTATCTTAATTTAACGTCATTTTACGGACTATAGACCGCTTTGTAGCGTAACACACATATTTTTGATCGCGACGGCTTGCCTGCCCCGCCGCACGTAACCCCGGTTCTCTGATAACCGAGTATGCTGTCATTCAGTTACAAAAGTCTTTTCTCAGTGATAATGTAGTTGTTAAGTTGTTTTAATATACGTGAAATGTTTGCATCGACATTTTTGTAAGATGACCGGACGGTGTCATCTCCTGTAGCCGTAGAGTCTGCAGCTGGTAACGTTACAGCTGCAGGTTGACGTTAGTGATCGTATTATCTGGTGACTTTCCGCTGAATAAGTTACGTCGGTTGTTGTGGTACAGGTTATTTGGTTGAATATCAACTTATAACCCAAAGAGTGAAACGTTAA